ACATGTTTTCAATTCCGTTGGTTATAAACCTAAAAGTACAGTTTCTAAGTCATATGGTAACTCTGTTTAACCTTTTGAGGAACTGGTAGTCTATTTTTCAGTGGCTAATCTATTTTATATTCCAATAGCAATATATGACGTTCCTAATTCTCTGCATCTTCAGCAACATTTATTCCTATTTCCCTTTTTAATTATAACCATACCAGTATGTGAAGTGACATTTCATGCTGGTTTTGACTTTTAATTTCCTGATGATTATATTAAGTATCTTCTCACGTGTTAACTGGCCATTACTGGGTTTTGCTTCTTATAAAAGCTACACAGAACCATTTTCAAAACTTGAGAGATGTTTATTAGTGTGAAGGCAATTGTTTTGATGTGCTTTTCTTTCCTTTATATGATACATACCATGCTCTATCTTTTGATATTCTGCCCAGGTACCATACATACGAATAGTTCAACTGCTCATTGTTGAGTCTAAATCCAATGAAACATATGGAAACTTTGAGTTATAGTTAAGATTTTGCTAAAGTGTTTATTTCTAACTCCTTGAGCTGCATACAGTATAGCCTTGAGTAATCTCGATCTGGACTACATCCTCTTTGAGGGCACTTTTGTTTCTTTTGAATCTTTCCCTTACCCAGTCCTTCAGATATTGATGATCCGAGCCCTACGAAACTCACCAGATTGCTTGCAAAATCTTTCTGCTTTAGCATTAACGTTGTTGGGGGTAAGTGCAAAGTGGGCACATCTGTCAGACAGTGTGTCCCATTTGGAGCATCTGATGTTATTGATATGATTGAATTTTTGTCTTAAAGTTTGCTTTTTGCTTTGTACATGTCTCATACTTTTTGTTTCTTTGTTCCTCCTGTTTCCTTTTGTACTAAATATTTTCTGGTGTAACATTAGTTCCTCAATGATTATGTCACTGTATCTCTTGAGTTATTAGTGGCTACTCTGGTGCTTATAATAAACATGTTAACTCATCAGAACCTTCTTGAGCCTTATAATAACCTAAACCCAGTGAGATATAGAAATATTATTCCTGTACAACCTTATTATCTTTTCCTTTTTTGTGCTATTGTTACACATGTAACATCTATAAATATATAATTTTCACATATGTTACTGTAATTACTAATTTATATCATTTATGGCTTTTAAGTAAGTTGAGAGAAGGGGAGCAAGTACATATTTATAATTTGTTATACCAACTTGCTCAGTCACTTTTCTGATTCCCATTTCCTGCTGTATATTCACATTACCAGCAGATATTTCCTTAAATACAACTTTGTTTCCACTCATCTCTTTTGTACTGATATTGTCAAATATATTGCATTTCTGTATATAATAGGCCTATCAATTACATGTATATATATATATCTATATATATATAGTTTTATATGATTGCTATTTATATCAATTAGAAGAAAGGAAAATAACTATGTAATTATACTCTGAATTACTTACATAATTATCTTTATTGGTTCTGTTTATTTCTCGTTACTGTCTAGCATCACATGTTTTTAGTCAGTTCTTTTAATATTTCTTGTAAGGCATGTTTGCTAGTAATACATTCTCTTAACTTTTATTTATCTGGCAATGATTTTATTTTGTGTTCATTCTTTTTTTTTTTTTTTTTTTTTGTTGAGACAGGGTCTTGCTATGTAGTGCAGGCTGGCCCTGAACTTGCTTATGTAGCCCAGTCTGGCTTTGAATTCATGGTTATTTTCTTGCCTCAGCTTCTCAAGTGCTGGGATTACAGGCATGCGCCACCACACCCAGCTTACATTCATTCTTGAAAGATAATTTTCCCCGCACATAAGATTCTTGGTGAGAGATGAGGATGTAGCTCAGTGCTAAGAGTACTTGCCTAGCATATATGAGGCACTGGGTTGGATTTCTACCACAAAAGAAAAAAAAAAGATTCTTGGTGAAATTATTTTGCTTCAATACTCTGAATATGTTGTCTCACTACCTTCTGGCTTCCGTTGCTTCTGATGTGATTTCAGCTGTTAATTTTATTGGGGCTCCTTTGTATGTGATGAATTATTTATCTTATTTTTAAGCTTTTCATCTTTGTCTTTTAACATTTTGATTGTGTGTGGTTCTCTTCCCATCTGTCCTATTTGGAGTTCACTGAGCTTCTTGGATAGTAGTGTTTTTTATTAAAATGGGACGTTTACAGCCATTGCATCTTTGAATATTTTTACTACTGTGTTACTTGTTCACACAGAGCTACCAGTCTTCTCTCAGTTGGTCACCACTAAAAGTTTTGTTTTTGACAACACCTTTGACTTGAAGTTCCCAAATTCTGTCTCCAGATAAAGTCAATCACTTTAGGAAAGGCTACATTTCTGTGGCTATTCCTATGCCTGCTTCTCCCCTGGGTAGAACTTCTACACTACTGCTTGGTACATGGGGACAGCATCTCACTTCTCTGAATGATTCTACAAGTAGGGTTCTGGGTAGGGGCTAGTACATAGTATTCTGGTTTGTTTGGCTTGCCTCTCCTGACATGGAATCTAAAGGCTATGATTAGATGGCTTGGAGTGATCAGACCTCAGTACTGTTGGCTTTGTGCAGTAGGGAGTTCTTGGGAACTTTGTGAAAGCAGGGATGCCAGATCTCCTGGCTGCTATTGCCTAAAACAGAGCTTTAGCAACATGGAGCTAAGGGAAATGAAAAGTGCTACAGGTCTGCTCCTACTGAGAAGAAACTACAGTCATAGACTGGGAGCTGAGGGATGAGGGGAAGGAAATGGTCATAACTTGGATGCCATGGATTCTTGCAGTTCATATCAAGATTTAACAGATTTTCTTGAATAAATGGTCATACCTCAAATGCCAAGGATTCTTGCTGTTCTCACAGAGATTTAATAATAAATGTTTCTTCACTTGCTGTATGCCCTTAGGACAGTTTCCAGAGACTTTCTGTTTTTATCGTTGCGGTTGTTTTGCTGGGAAGAATCCACAAAGCTCCTCAAACTGCTATTCTAAAAGTGCTTCTCCTTGCTCCTTATCTCTTGACTCAACACAGTATATTCTGGCTAACTCTAGAATTTTCTCCAAATCACTGCTTCCTCAGTGAGCTTTCCAAGAGCACTGTTACTACTTTAATTCAGGACCTTACAATCTTTCTGGATCCCACAAGATTTTCCTGTGCTCCAGTTTCCATGTTCTCAATATATCTTCAAAATTGTCATCTCTGTCATTGTTCCTGCTGTTCAGTCTATCTGGAATGGAACATCTGTATTTATCTTCATCAAAATGCTTTCTCTTGTATAGGATCTATGCAACCATATTTTTACTCCAACTGACATATATTTTCCTTTCTCTTAGATACCATTTTTATACCATTCATAAAACCCAGATTTCTTTATTCCTTATATTTAAGAAATCCATGCTTATGTTTTATTTTACCCTCCTCTCTAGACAAAACATTCTTCAAAGCGCAGAGCTCACATATTCATCTTTCTATTCCCATGGTACCTAATGGAGAGAGTACCTTCCACATAGTAGACACTTAATATAAAGCTCTTATATTCACAAAAATGTCAGTTTTAGAGATACTAGGTATTTGAAGACAATCTTTAATATTTTTAGTCAGCCCAGAGAAGAATTTATTAGCCAAGCCTTTGAGAAGTTTTCGTTACTTACTCGTTCTTTTAACTGGATCACTTCTTTATCCTTTTGTTGTTTCCATTGTCTAAATTTCTCAGCATCCTCTTTCATCTGACGCATTAACTGTACTCGCTGGTTTTTCATCATCTGTAAAAACAAAAGCCAGTACAAGTATTAGTCATCTTTATTTTATTCTAGGTTTATGTGCAAATGGATAGTTACCATTGAGAAGAAAGAAAACCTAGAGCTAAGCTAAGAAGACCACCAACAGATTTTCTGATTAGGCTTGCAATACCTCTTTCTATGTTTCCACAAGGTTTCCAAGTATAGACTATACAAATGAATACTCGGAAGAAATAAAAATGTACCCACAAGCTAAATCTAGCCCTAAATTCACAGTATATAAATGAAATTTCAAGAAAATACGTATTAAGCCTCAAGGACAAATCTACCCAGGAACCATTATATTCCAAAGGTTTCAGTACAAGTGACTTGTAACCATCATTTGGCAGATGTTAGAAGTTGAACATTCAATAACTGAGAATATTTTCTAGGTGTCATCATTTTGCCACTACCTTACAAAATTACATGCTCATGGAAGACGATCAGGATATCACCACCAAACACTGAGATGTCGTGCTGGACATACTTGTAATCCCAGCACTCTCGAGGGTGAGGCAGGAGAATCACAAGGTTGAGGCCAGCCTGGGCTACACAGCAAGTTCCATAGCTTGCCTGGACCATATACAGTATTTGAGACACTGTCTCAAAATAGAGGGAGAGAGACAGAGAAAGAGGTCTTTGTCTTTTGTTTCAGACAATAAAACATTGAACTCTGGGGGCTGGGGATTTAGCTCAGCAGCACAGCGCCTGGCAAACGCAAGGTCATGAGTTCCGTTCTTGGTACCGGAAAACAAACAAAAAACAAAACAAAACAAAACAAACAAAAAACCCCATTGAACTCTGAATGTAAAAAATAAAAAGAGAAAGCATGGTTTTATTATTCAGATTATAGATGATAACCAGAACAATATCTATCAAAGAGGTATTTGTGGGGGGCTGGGGATTTAGCTCAGCGGCATAGTGCCTGCCTGGAAGTGCAAGGTCGTGAGTTCAATTCCTGGTACCGGGGGAAAAAAAAATAAAGAAGTATCTGTGGAAAATACTCACACTTGAAATTGTTGTTCTGCTTACTACTTTCTCACCTGAAAGAACATCTATGGTATAATTCTAAATGGAACCCCTTAATCTGTAAATTCCAATGCAATAAATACAAGGATGAGAGTTTATTACCTGTATCTCCTGATTCAGTTTGGTGACAGTATGTTCTGTGGATTCCTTCAGTTTCAGAAGTTTGGACTGTTCATTTAGTTTTTTCTTCAAATCAGCTATTTGACTCTCCAGCTCTTGCAGACGTTTGCGACGACGCTCACTCAACCTAAAAACAGATGCAGTAGGAGTGAAGACTCACTGCAACAGAGCTGGACTCCAAATGTGGCATACATACACAATGGAGAACTGCTTAGCCACACAGAAAAACAAATTTGAGTCCTTTGTAGGTAAATGGATACAACCTGAGACCATAATGCTAAATGACATTAATCAGACATAGAAGGTTGAATATCACATGATTTCTCTTATATAAGAAACCAAGAGTACAAATAATTTAAAGAGCAAAATACAAGATGATAGAAAACAGAGAGATTATATATAGATGGGAAGGGGTTCTCAGGATGGGGGAGACAGGCAGGGGTGGTAAAAATGATCAAGATTTGATATATATGTACCAATTCCCCATGATGAATGTATCTATTATGTAATGAAAAATATACTAATAAAAAAGGAAACAAATAAAACTTTATATGTTAAAAATTCAATATGAGTTTAATAACCTTGCCATATAGTCATCTTTAAAATAAATACTGCCCAAACAACCAAAACTATCTCAATAATGAGAGCTTAATACTAGACCAAAACATTTTAAAAATATAATAATATATTCAACAATGAATTGCTTTAACACACTCTTTCCCAAAAGAATGATTCTGAGGCTGTTCACTTCATTTTACCTGTAAGGAATAATTCTGTTGATTATGACATAAACTTAAACAGAAAGTAAACATTCAGTGTAACTTTTTAATATGAACTTCAGGTTCAATAGAGATATAACACAGAGTCACTAAGGATATTCTTAATTGATTAAGGAATAGTTAGATTGTTTTTTCAAATCACTAGCTTGGATATTAATACGTAGCCACAAGCTAATTTACCATCAGTGCAGGGCAAGGAAACTGGTTTTGTCTAGTAGGTCTGATAATCTTTCAAAAAGCTGTTCCCATTCTAACTTTTTATAAATCTTTCCTTGATCAGTCAGCTTGAATTGACATACCCTGCTTCTGACCTCTTAACGTATTTACTGCCTAAGATATTTATCTGGCTACTAATCATGTACTATGTTATGGCATTCTTTCACTGTTATGCTGAATATTATTTTAAAATCTCAATTACTTAACTTTTCTTATGTTTAGGTCTCCTTCCCACACTAGATTTAAATCCTTCAGGACAATAAATTGGTCTTCTAGTTCTCTATTCTTTCTAAGGCTCCTTATACACAGTAAAGACTTAATTTTCATTGACTTTATTCTTACTTGGCTTGGTTGACATCCTTCTTTGCTGTCTGAAGTTCAAGAATCAATTCTTCTTTTTCCTTCTGCAGACTGATGACTTCTAATTCTAGATTTTTTATGTTATCCTAGAAAGGTTATAGGTCAATGAGAAATAAACCATTACATAGCACAGGAAGAAAATCACTTTAACATTTCATGTCTCAAGGAACTGTGAATTAAATTTCACCACTTGAAAAGCACACTAAAACATGTGCTCTTGATTCAAGGAAATTAAAGTTATGCAGCAAAAAAAGCATGGACTTGGAATCCAAAGGCTGAGGCTCGCATCTTGACTGCAATACCTACTATCTTATTTAAGTATTTTATGAAAAATCATTTTTGGCCTTAACTTTCTGTCACAAAAGAATTAATTATACCAGGCTGAAGCCTGCTATCCTTAAAAAGCTTGGCTTACAAGGTTGGCTCTTGCCAAGTGTGTGGGAACTAAGATTCTGGTAGGCTTCTTGCTATGCCCTACCTGATAAGAGTGGCTAAACTGTGCAAACAATGTGATTTACCATGAATATCTGCCTTCTTTCTGGGCCCCTAGAATCTTGTATGTCCAAGGCAGAGAATGGCCACATGACTGACTCTTGGTAAAAGCCCTGGACTCCTAGCTTAGTGAGGCTTTCCTGGTACAGAAAATTTCACACATGATCACAACAACTTAGTGGTAGAAAGAATGACTTCCTGTGTGACTCCACCGTGAAAGGAGTTTTTGGGAGCTTATGTTTGGTTTCCTATAGACTTGGCCCATGTGTTTTCTCTTTCTGAATTTTCTTTGAATCTTTTACTTGTTATACATCTTAACTATAAGTTTGACTATTTGCTTCTAGTGAATCATTGGACCTAATGGTAGTCCTTAGGCCTCCTAAGAGTTTGTCTCTTTATGTGACTAATTAATAGTAACCTGAGCCAGGTGTGGTGACACACTTGTAGTTCCAGCTATTTGGGAGGCTGAGGCAGAGGGATCACAAATTTGAGTCCAACCAGGCCAACTTAATAGGACCATGTCTCAAAATGAAATACAATAAAAAAAGGGAATGTAACTCAGTGACAGCCCTCACAGGGTTTCTGGGAAGATCAATTAAAATAAAAAGGTAAAGACACTTTATAAATTTTAAAGAGCTGCACAAATATCAGAATTTTTAAAATGATCTGTTCAATCAATAACAACTGCAGTTCTGCATACATTTAGGAAACAAATTGTAGACACTGAAGTTTAGCAGTTCCCAAGACTGAGAAAACCCAGCGACCAGGTCCCATTTTGTTCTTATAACAAAAAAGATTATAGGAATCTGACTGATGAGTGGTTGGCAAGGAAGGAGATTGTATAAAAGCCCTGATCAGTATCGTAGAGGCACAAAGACGCAGAGGGAGGCTAGGCAGGGCTGTATCAAAAAGCTTTCTAAATAGGCTAGAGTTATTTTCCAAGCAATGTACTGAGCCAATTAAGAATAAGCATTGAGGGGCTGGGGATTTAGCTCGGCGGCACAGTGCCTGCCTGGCAAGTGCAAGCTCGTGAGTTCGATTCCGGGTACCGGAAAAAAAAAAAAAAGAATAAGCATTGAAAATCAAACTCACTACTATGTAGTTACTCTAGATATTTAAACAGATCAATAATAATAAAGAAAATAGGAATAATAAATAAAAATATAAATAATATAAATGTTTATTTTTACCCATAGAAGTATCTTATAAATATATTCTTGTGAAAAACAATCCAGATTACATACAAAAGTCAATTCCCCTTGATTAACTTATCTCTGCCAAAATTTCAGTACCCTCTCCAGAATTAACCACTTTTACGAAGTTGTATGGATCTTCTAGACATATTTTGTAGACATTTAAATATGTACATATTAAACATTCAAACCTTTATATATATGTTATATAATATTATATATTACATACTATGTTGTTACATATGGTATATAATATTAAGATATTACACGATAAACATATATATAATATATATTACATCTTCTTACATGAAAGTGAATAAACATACTAAAGAAAGGAAATGTGAAGCCTACAGAGGCAAAGCAGGGACAAGAAAACCTCAGTAAATTTTAATTCTTGTCCTTCGATGTCAGCAGAGTATCCAAAAAAGAATGGAAGAAATAATAAGAGGATCAAAAAAATATCTTGGAAACTAGCAGGCAAATAAAAGTTCATCAGAATTGAAGGGAAATCTCCCAAAAGAGTAGAATAAAAAGACCAATAGGAAGGAGTAAGAAAAACAAAACAAAATCTAATATGTCCAATAGCTGATTAAGCGTACAAGAAAGAGGAAACAGAGAAAAGGCATTATCAAAGAAATGATGTAAGAAAACTTGCCAGAGAAGAAGAACACAGATTTTTAGATTGAAAGGACCCACTAAGCACTAAGGACAATCAATGAGAGAAGACCCACACCCAAGCACATAGTTGTGAAATTAAATAACACTTGGGGACAAAGAAAAGATCCTGAAAGTTTCTAGAGTGAAGGGACACAGGTCAAGTACAAAGAATCATAATGGAATTTTTAACAACAACATTGGAAACAGAAGACAATAGAGCAAGGCTTTCAAAATTTTAAAAGAAAACAATTTTGAGAGAGTTATAAACCCAACCAAACTAATGAGTTTAAGAATGAAAAAAACACTGTTTTCATGTATGCAAAGCTTTAAAACATTTTCCTTTCATGTATGCTTTCTCAGAAAGCTATTGGGGTTATATTCCAGCAAAACAAAGAGGAAGTGGAAGGTATGGAATATGTTTCAGCAAAGAGATGAGAAGCGAAGGAAATTCCCAGGATAATAGTTCCAGGTTGATGGCTAGGCAACAGGCGTAGGCAAAGTGAACCAGGACAGAGACAATAAAGACTTGATTATTAATTAGCTATGCCACTGAAAACTAGCACTAGGGAAATGTTTAGCCACTTGCCAAGTCATGTGACATCTATTACTAGTTTCATAATCCATACTGTAACTCAGATGATCTACTAAGAGATGGGCCTTTCTTGGAAACCAAGCACAGTTAGTAGAATACAATTTCTCTATATGTAGGGATCACATTTATTATAACATTACTAAATCATTTGTTAAATACTTATGAGATAAGGTAAGCCATGAGATTAAATGGAAGAAAAATACAGGTCCTTTATCCTGAACACATCCAAAGAAAAACAAAAAACAAAAATAAAGCACAATTCTATTGTCAAACCACGTATATCATGTTGTCTGCATATTGCCACAAATGGTGAGCTTGTTTTCTTTCCATTCGGCCAAAGATGGGAGACAGGAACAAATGTTCTAGAAAATCTGTTACCTGGTACTGGAACTGAATGGGCTGTAGCTGGCTGTCATTCTGAGTCATCTTCCTAGCTAGGGCCTCTTTCAGTGCAAGGGCTTTATTCAACTCAATCAGCTCCTTTGACATCTGAGCTTGCCGTAGAGCATGTTGAGTGGTGAAAACATCCGAAGACCTGCTGGTCTCTGGACTGGTTTCCACTTGCTGGAAAAGAGAATGATCAGGGTCACAGGGGATACTAGCTTGTAAGAGATACTAGAAATTAGGCACTATTTCATCAAGTCTCACAATCTTTCCTCCGTTAGCAATACCTCTGTTCCTTCACTACTGTGGCTTCTCAAATAATATTTGCTCCAAACATCTAAAATAAATTAAGCTAGCCTATTTCTGTGTTCACATAAGTACTCTCATATGTTTTGACTTTTGTAGAGCCACCTTTCTTTTTACCGATTTGGCCAACGTTCCTTACTGTTACCTCTTTCTAAGGGTCCTTAAAGAAAAAAGACACCGGAAACAGCACCTTGGGAATGGTGGAAAAGGAAAAGGATTCATTTATTCTCACACAACTGATCCTTAGTACCTCATTTATTTTCTGTTTTTCTTTTTTCAGAATATGAAAGCTCTGTGCAGAACCATTTTCTGGCTTTTCATTTTGACTTTACTCTGCAACATTAAATATATATATCTTTAAGATCTGAACACTCAAAATAATTTCTTTGGTTATTTTCACCCCTAACATTCTATCTAAAGCTAAGTATGCTCAGAAAAAATCTCTTCCATTTCTCCTCTAATGTTATTTGGAGTTTGCCATAATTTCCAAATTTGTTCTCTCCTCATTTTAACTTGCTGGACAGCTGCTGCAGAATATTAACATATAACAAGAAATCAGTAAGCCACATCGCAAGTACAGAATTTGATACCCCCGAGTTCTACTTATCACCAGTTATACTATTAGAGATAGAGCCTAGCTAAGTCAAAGATTTTACAAAACTGAGATTTAAGTAAAGATTTCTGAATTTCCAGGGCCAACATTCTCTAAGGAGTATGGTAGTGCTCACAGATTCTCTTCTTCCGTCAAGTGATAAATTATAGGAAATAGCACAGTTAGAGAGCCTGGCTCCACACAAAGGGGCCAGTTACTTACATCCTCTGGTTCCACTGCAGTATCAATGGCTGCGGCCATGCAAGCAACAGTTTCATCCTACAGTGATAAATGTCTCAATTTAGGAAAATATTTTGAAGTAAATATCATTAGTTGATTTTATAGTGGTTACTTAATTTTTTCAAGTACAGTATATACAAAGATCATCTAAGGTGAAGGATCCACTTTCCAGTCACAGATACTCTAACAGCCATTTATTTCCATTTCCTACCTCTCAAGAGTCTTTCTTCTCCAGAAAGGGGAATTGTGTAATCTTTGTGAAAAAAAATAATGCCATGTGACAACTGATATATTTGTTGTACTTTTCTTGCTCTGCTAGAAATGGCTGAGTGAGTGTAAAACCACCACTTCAACAAGCTAAGGTTTACCTCATTTTATAAAATTTTACCCTTTCTTTTTACGCTTCTACCACAAAGTCTCTCTATTAATATACAAGCCCAGCCACTTCTTATGGGCATGCCATCCTAAATGACATAAGTGCCTTAGGTGGGTACCCTGGAAAAATGTGCTCATGAAGTCAAAATGTATTGTAGCACCTCTGTCTCTCCTATAGATAAGAACTGATCATATAAAACTACTATAGGCTTACTAGGAGGGAAAGGGTAAGTACTAGTTCCCTCTCAAGAGAATGACAATTCTTTTTGTAGGCAAATTCCTTTTTTAAAGAAACATAAAAACTACGTATTAGGACTAATTTATTCATAGACTATCATATGAGCAAGATCTGTCCTTATCACTGGAATTTAGGCTTTATCTGGCATTGTAACATATAGATTACGGTTTCTGTTTAAGTGATACTACAAGGCCTTGGGAAGAAAGTATTGTTTCCAGGAAGTCACATGATTAAGGAGGTCATGGGTTAAAAAGCTATTGGCTTAATAGCAAAAAGAATTAAGATTTGTACGTGGAGTCTGTATACCAGCCCTGTGAAACATTACATAGCTTTTTGTTTTTTTGGATCAGGTCTCACTGTGTAGTTCAGGCTGGCTTTGTACTATGAAGTCCAGCCTGTCCTCGAATTCAAAGCGATTCTCCTGCCTCAGCCTCTCAAGTGCTGGGATTACAGGCATGCACCATCACACCTGATCTAATTTACAGTTATTAAAAATTTAATCTCAGTACTTTTAAGGCAAGAAGTGAAGAAGCACTTAATAAGTGCTGTTTGTAAAGCATTTTCTGTATTCTGCCCAGATTTCCAACCAGACTCAAGAAAACACTCAAAGGAAGCTCTAGGGTTTCCATATTCTTTCTCATCTTATTTACAGTAGTGGTAATTCTCCAAGTATAAGAGATACTAAATTCTTTTTTAAAAAACAGCAAGGCAATCTATTACAGGTTACTGATCATTCTTTCCATATTTCAATTTTCAATATAAGCAATGGTTAGTTATAGTGTTATATGAGAATATTAGGGTTTATTAATACTGGCTTTTGGAGACATTTCCTAGTAACTTCCAGAAGGTCAGGATCAAAGTAGATGGATTAATCTTTGGAGAACACATGTTGTTATTGTGGGTTTACCTTTGGCGTTTGGCCCAGTGAAATGTCACGTTAAAATGTAAGCTTAGGGGTATGGTGACGTGTTTTGCCACGAACATGGAAAGATTCTGCTTTTATAATCTTAAATGTAAATATATAGAAATTGTATGTATTTTAATCTAATGAACCTCTTCTCTTCCAAACCTCCATTCTAAGGTTACAATTTAAAATCTCTTGTAAGTAAAAGATATAATTTGCTAAAGGTGATGGTCAGGGGATTAAGGTTAGGGTACATTGTGCTACATTAACTATTAAAATCTTCCAAAATGAAGTCTGTACCTGTAGGCTGCAGGTACTACCATTACTAGGCACAAAAAATGCTTTTTATGGAACTGGTCTTGGAGGAGAGGGTATAAACAAAAATATTATTCGATTTTGTAGGAATTGAAAGGACAGCATGAACTTCCTCACAGGTAGGCCTGATTGAACTATATTTTAAGGGAAGAAATGGTACAGTTTGGTGCTTAAATCCCCAGGAGGAATATCCAGGAACAAAAGTTGCCTTCAAAACTGAAAAGAGGGTGTTCACCCATCACTTAAAGTAAAAATAGTTTTAATCCAGAATGAAGGGCACAAGCACTTTCATTGGAAACATTTTGCTTTCACTGTTGTGAATCTTAATGAGAGCCACAGGGCACATTGTTGTGTATTTCCAAAAAATATGTAGCTGGGAGGGTCCCCAAACAATAGACGTGGAGAACTCTGATTCAAGGGTCCAGCAGGAGCCTTGGATGAAAAGGTTTACTCTGCCTAACTGTGACAGTGGATGGAAGCCAGGAACTTTATCAGCTTGTGGCACTCTTTAGCACTCTCCTACTGAGTGTGTCAAGTACATTTTGGTGGCAGACAGCAATTCTACATAGTTCCTCTGAGCCAGCCACCACTAACAACTTCCTCTGCAGGCACACCAGGCACCATCATGTTGCCAGATCCTGGGTGTGGATGCTTCATCTTATTTTATTAATTGGTTTTATGGGTCCCTTTCATCTTTCCCATGTGATTCAAAAGTTCCAGAAGTGAGGCAGTATGAAATCCTCTAAGATTGGTGTGGTGGTCATGAATGATGATGCCCTGGGTCTTTATTTTCTGAGCTTATAAATTTGGGCTCCAGTAGGCTTCTTCACCCTAGGTTATTTTAATTCAGAGGCAACTGACACTAGATCGTCACATATCAGATGGTTCACTTATATTTAAGCTGGTGACATTTCTCTTACGATAGCTATTCTCTGGCATGGATCCTGTACTTCAGCCACACCGAACATCCTATCATTCCCTAAACTTTCATACCTCTTTACCTTTGCATACACTTCTTAATCTATATAGATTGTCCTTTCCCCTTGTCTGTATGGCAATCTTCTATTTATTTCAGGAACCAGTGTCTTCGGTGATACCTTTCTGAATTTTCTAGACTAACAGTCACCCCTTTCTTGGTGCTCCCAGTGCACTCTGCTCATCGTGCTAATATGAAAGGAATAAAACAGAAGAAAGGGTTCTGTTTTCCTTGTCTTCAATCTTCACCTCCTTCCCACTTCTTTTGTGCTATCATTTCTATCTGTGAACTTTAATCAACTTATGAACTACAAAAGCCTGCCAAAACAACTCTTAAAAAATAAACTGAGGGGCCAGGGATATAGCTCAGTGGCACAAGTGCCTGCCTGGCAAGTGCAAGGTCCTGAGTTCAATTCCTGGTACAAAAAAAAAAAAAAAGAAAAATAAACTGATCACTATCTCTAGGAAGGGAGATGAAGAGTGGAACAACCCCCAACTGAAAGTTTCACAGCAATTAACAATCAAAACTGCCACCTGAGCCAAACTAAAAAGACACATATGTTTTTCTTCTCTTCACCCTATAAAACTACATTCTGCCTCCACTTGGACAGTTATCTGGAGTTCAGAGGCTCCCCGAGCATATCAAAAAAATAAAGCCTTTAACTTCCATTTCAGTCAATATTTCCTTTTGACAATAATACAACATTTAGTAAGGATAAATAGTAAATAAGTGGCAGAATTGGTTTCACACCAGAATCTGTCTGACTCTGGAACTTAAATTCTCAATTACTGTGTCCTAATTGTTAATAAATGAACTGTCATTTTGGACTGATAATGAGTTCTATGCAGAACTATTTGTTCTAAAATACTACCTAGTAGTTTTTGAGGAGTTTACATAACCTTTCCCCTGACAATGTTACATGTTTTTTTTCTTTCATTTATTCTTTAAGAATAAATCTAGGACTAGGAATATAGATCAGTGGTACACTTGTCTAGCATGTGCAAGGCCCTGGGTTTAATCCCCAGGGCCGGCCACACACACACACACACACACACACACACACACCGTAAATCTATATATGGATAATTCTGTGATACTCTATTGGAAATTTTAAAAAATGCTGAGTAAAACCAGGGATGGGAGACTCACTCTTCCGGTAAAATAAAAATCTCCTTACAAGAATTAGGAATTACCACCAGGCATCTACAAATACTGCTTACCAATAATGAATATAGTGTAGATGAAAAAATCTAACCACTACCTCTTAATATAATGCTGTAGTATGATTTTAATTTTTAAAAAACATATATATGCCTAAGGACTAAGGCAAAGGAAGAATACCAAACATAAAAATAGATTTTTTAGGGTGGTAGGATTGCAAAATTTTTTCTTATGGGATAAAAACAACAAATAATCACTCCTATCCCTAAAACATACCCAACAACTAGTATAACAGTCCTAAAAATAAGTAAAAATTTATGGGGGAATAGTCATTCAAATGTATTTATTATTGGTTAGTAAAGAGACCTCCAGTATTCTTGGCTGCTCTAAGCTGCCTGTCAGAACACAGCTTATTTAAAATTGGGTCATGATTTAAAATTGTGGCCTTATTAAATTAGCCCACATTGAAAAGACAAGTCAACGACTGCTACTCTTGCCACCTAGATAGTTTTGTCCTGCTATGTTGCTGTTTATGGTGTTCCACTGAATATGGAAATACTGTACTAATGTATCATCGTATATATGACCTATAAGGTATGTGTGTGTGTGTGTATGTGTGTTAAAGGAGACTGAACACAGGGCCACTTTACCACTGAGCTATATCTCTAGTCCTTTTCATTTTTTATTTTGAGGCAGGGTCTTACTAAGTTGCTCGGTTGACCTCGAAGTTATGGTTCTCATAGCTCTGCCTCCTTACACAGCTAGGATTACAAGTGTGTGCTACTGTGCCTGGTTAATGAGTGTTTTAACAAACTCAATGTTTAGATCACATTCAATGATTGATGGTCTCTATCCTCAAGCAGCTCACAATCCAGTAGTTTCATCAAAAGCCCAGTTAGAAATGCCTATATGCTCGAAGAGAAACAAGTGAAAATGATTCAGGTTATATACAGTGCTTCTACTTGGCTTACTGAGAGCTGGACAATCACTTGTTGCAGGTTACGAATTATCTTCACATTTTCTTTTAATTCCTGATCTTCCAAAGTCTCTACCAGCTTTTGAAGATCCAGTTTACAGCTGAAAATTTGAGCAAAAGAACCCAAGGGTTAATGACACTGCAAAGACCAGAAGATCCATGATGAGACACAAAGGCGATACAGGTCACTGATAAACATCTGGTAGAAAACTTACGCTGCATGCTGTCTGAGCTCTTCCAGTTTGGTGTTCATTTTCTCATTTGCTTGCTCTGTCTGCAACAAAGACCCAAAAGATCGTCAGTGGCAGTGCCTGACAGGTTCACCTAATTACGTGCTCTCCCTTCTCCTATGGATGAAAACCTGGGTGGAAAAGCTGCCTCTTTTGCTGTAATTGAAGTTTTAGTGGGCTTTGGTTATTTTCTGCCAATGTGTTTATTAACAGTCATGGAAATTCGCCCTAAAGTCAACATGAGCTACTAAAAATATACCAGAGCAGCAGCTGGATTTTATGCTTGTCATGAAGTTCAGACTATGGAGTGGAGTGTGAAGACTTAATTCCATAAAGAACTTTGCAAGTGGAGGAAGAAGCAATACTTCCTGGCATGTTACTCCCTGCTGTTTGAAAAAAATCACTTTAAATGGCCTCCTACACTGCACTGTTCCTTAGCCTCAGTATCAGGGCATTTAAAACATAAAGGGCCTCACGTTAAATATGAGCTGATTCTTTTTAAAGTTACACAGTCTGATATGATAGGCTAGTTTTAGGAAAAGAATGCAAGAAAAGGGGTAAAGCACAAGACTGATGTTAGTGAAAAGCGAAATGGCAGAAGGCAGCTGTGTTTTGGGGAAAAAAGGTGTTTTTAGTTTTACTTCCATCACAGAATCTGTGACATGCTGGGTGTTACACAATTTGGGAAAGACAGTTTATAGAGGACAAAAATGTTGTGCTTTGTATGGAGTTTTGACAAGATATCAAACAATAAGCCTATCGGCAGCCACTGTAACAACCATACAAATGTCAGATGAGTAGAACAGTAGGTACTGTCTGGTATGTCAGCCACACTCACATACATGTGGCACATGGCTTCTAGAGTTACTTCAAAGGCATAAAATGCAGCAGTAGAGACAGAAAATTATATATAAAACCCCTCAGATCTCATTTTTACCCTTCTTTTTTTGTTTTATTGTGTTTTATTTTTTTGAGGGTACTTGAGATTGCACTCAGAGCCTTACATTGAGCAATAGCCACCCACCCCCTTTAATTTTGAGATGGGATCTTGCTAGGTTGCCCAGACTAGGCTTGAACTTGCAGCTCTCCTGCCTCAGCCTGGAGCTACTGATGTTTACCAGGCCTGCCTCCACTCTTACCCTTCTGCTAGCAATGAACAATACAATGGATGTAGGATCTGGCTTCCTTTAAAGAAAACTTCAAGCAGCTTACCTTTTTTTGGACTGAAGAGCACACTAATGCATGAAGATATGTAAGTTACAGAGGTTCAATGACATTCTGGTGGAAACTCATTTTTGCTTGCAGCAATAGTTGTACAACAAATGATTGAGATGTAGTTAAATGAATAAGAAAAAAAGTTTGGTGACAGAGCCAGCACATAAAGATCCAGGAGGTTACCATTAGATAGTAGGATTCAGAACTGGTGTAATCTCAATAGATAAATTATGGAAACATCTTACATGCCCATCAACAGATGAATGGATAAAGAAAATGTGGTATAGACACACAATGGAATATTACTGAGCCACAAAGAAGGACAAATTTGAGTCATTTGTAGAAAAATGGACAGATCTTAAGACTATAGTGTTAAGTGAAATAAATCACACAGGTTAAATATCACATTGTTTCTCACCCAAAATATAAAAATAAAGGTACTGGTAACAAACAGAAATGTAGACATTTTATAGATGGGGAAGGGAGTCCAGGGAAGAGAAGGAGAGGGGAGGACTAGGGGGAACGTTGATATAAAATTATGAAGAATATACATATAATTAGCATCTTTATGCTAATTCCCCAAAATGAATGTAATTATTATGTATCATAAATATATATAAGTAATTAAAAAACTGGTATAATCAGTCGCATAGTGATCTATGATATGGAAATTAACCATATGGAAAATGAATTAATGAATTAAAATTAATTTCCCAGCTGCTGTATTTCACCATGGCAGCTCTTAGGATGGGATATGAAATGTAACAATATTAGGGAAAGAGAGCTAGGGAAGAACTAAAATGTTAGTGAGGGAACAGTTGCTTGGTATAGGATGAATATCCTTCATCCAAATGCTAGGGACCAGACGTGCTTCACGCTTCAATTTTTTTGATTTTGGAATATTTGCATATATCATGAGATATAGGGATGAGACTCAGGCCTAAACACAAAATTTATTTATGATTCATATACCAGCCTAAAGCTCATTTTATGTAATCCTTTATTGTACCTGTATTTTGACTGTGACCCATCATGCGAGGTCAGATGTGGAGCTTTCCACTGTGGTGCCAAGTTAGCCCTCAAAGTTTTGGATTTTGGAACATTTCTGATTTCAACTGTTTAGATTAGGGATCTTCGATCTGTCTTAAGAGTCAAGTTAGGCAGCACTTTCGATAACAAAAGCATTTGGTTCTTTCCTGTCTGGTATTTTAGAACAAAAATTTTAAAATGGGATTCATGCAAATTCTTTCTGGTAGATATATAGGTATTCACTGTGCAATCCTTTTAACTGTTCTCTACGGTTGATCACACATCCATGCAGTTATCACATAGGGATCCCTTCAGGATATAGCAATGAAATAATTTCTTTCCATATAACTTGTCTTATATAATGAGAAGCATGTTAAGTATTTTGGAAACTAAAGGTAGTAAATGTCTAGGCTGCTGGTATTTTAGTTTTGAGACCTCACCAAAATGATTCGCTCCAACATCTGGGCTGTCTGACCAGCTGCCTCACTTAGACCACGACTCAATTTTTCATTCTCTTCTACCAGGGACTGATTCTTCTCCATCAGGGATTGTAGATTTTCTGATGGTTCCACACTAAAACAAAGAAAGTAATATTTCAGAAAAATATGTGAGTGATAACGTATAAACTTATCCCACAAACCTTTCGGGTGGGATTGGGATCAAATTACTTCAAAAGTCTAGGAAAAGTGAGTCCAATCCCATCTATCCTTCCAGTTAGCATAATGCACAAACAAGAGACGCACTCATAAAGTACTTTAATGCTTGGCAGAAGGTAGTAATTTAGAGCCAGATATGGTTATAATAGGGACGACTAACTTTTATTTTGGCTCTTGGTTTGGGATCCTTTTATTTGCGTGTGTAGGCAAGAAATAAACTAGCTAAAATACATGTTCACTACACTTTCTCACCCTCAGTCCCTCATTAAAGATTAAGGAAGTAGGGGCATAAAAAAGAAGCTAGTGTGTGTTATGTACATGTACCAACTCTTCATGATGAGTGCAACCACTATATACTGCAAACATACTAAAAAATATTAAGGAAGTAGGAAAGAAAGAGATATGGAGAAGATAGAAGTGACACTGCTCAAGGTTGAAATTTAACCAGCTCAACACAAATTCATTACCCATTTGTTGTAAAGTTTATGGAAATAGAATTTAAGAAGTCAGAAAGTTGAAATGATGACCAGTGGCCATGGAGAGCACATTTCACAATTCTTTGTGAGTGTTTCCTTCTAAATGCTTGCTTTGCTTAAAACTGATGACCCTACAGCTTCTTGTTCCTTTGCCTACTGATGTTAAACTGCTTAGAGTGGGTGACAGCAACAATAATGTCCACTTCAATTACGACTGGAAGGACAGAGAACTTAGAGGAATACACGCATATAGACAACATCCTTCAGAAAATATGCACATTAACTGGTATTAGTTCTAGACTAATGAAAGAGACTAACAAGCATAAAGGGTTTTTTTTTAATCCATTGGGAGGAAAAGTTCAAAACACTGGTTAAAAAGAGACTAGAAATATGAAGATTTTATCTGAAGAAGGCCGAAGGGAAAAATGAAGTTGTCGAGGCTATGATAGAGCAAAAGGGACAAGGAACAGTTGTTCTCGATCTCAATAAAGGACAGAAAAGGATTTTAGGAAGAGTAGATGCCCTCTCACCCACTGTAAGATTTCTAGCAATTTTTACAGAAGATTTTAGCCTGTTCTTTATCAAGAAGTTAATGGCAAGGTCACACGATAAGATCTCATGTTATAGTTAAGAATTTGCTAAGGCTCTTAGGAAGGAATGTTCAATTAAAACATGGATTATAAAATGAACTATTAGTAAATTTAGTGTTAGATTGCTGTTTATTTCCTTATAAACTGAAAACTTCTATCTCATTCATGTAAGTTGGCAAGCTTCAAAGTAGTACTTCTAACTCAATAATTTTTCTCCTAAAACATTTTTGTAAATAGGAGAATCACAGTTAATCAACTGTTGATTTTTTCCAAGAAAAATTCAGCACTTAGGAGTAAGTACTTCATTGCAATTTCAGGTTAATGCTTGGATATTTAAACAGTACAGCTTGGTTAACACATCTACAGCACTATGTGCTAGGCTCTATTATAAATGCTGTCTGTATAAGATACTAAATATGTTTAATTCTCACAACAGCTCTATGAGGTAGATTGTACTGCCACCCCAATTTCACAACTGAGGAAACTGTGGCACAAAGGGGTTGAATAAGCCAAAGTCACACAACTAGTGGGTTCTGGTGACACTGGGATTTGAGCTCTATGTCTAATTTGAGAGTCCTTATTCTCAACTACTATGCTAACTTCTCCCAGATAGATCACACTGGAATGCAGAGAATGCTGGACATAAAAGCTCAGATAGTAAGGAATAAAGGAGTTCTTGGTAAGATTACCATGAAGCAGTATAGGACCACAACACGAAATAGGATACACGTGATAGGAAAAAGTTTAAGAGTAGAACAGAAATTGCAGCAAGGACCAGATAAAAGTTGGACAAAAATGAAAATACAATAGAAAATCAATGCTTCCTATTTGACGTCCTATTTAATTGCTGATGCTAGGAATATTAACTGCTGATGCTAGTTGCGTATGTACAAATTGACACTCATAAAAAATAAATACAAAAGCTCCAATGACACACAGCCCAAAACAAAAGATCATAATCCAAGGAGAAAATGTAAAAATATTCATATATATAAAATATGCTTTTAGTAAACAGTCTTATGAAATGTATCTAAAAATATAAACACACGGTTTTGAAAAAAGAAGTAGCATCTTTATTTCTCTGTAAAACATTGAATTGAATTGATTCATCAATTCTTATTGTTTTCACAGTGACATTATTTCTAATTATGAATCAAAGTCCAAAAGCATGGAGAGAACGGCAATAGTACAATCACTTTAAACAACAGTTTGGTGGTTTCTTTTCTTTTTTTTGGTCTTTCTGAGACAGGGTCTCACTATGCAGCTCAGGCCAGCCTTGAGCTCACTCTGTAGCCCAGGCTGGTCTTGAACTCACAGTGATCCTCCTGTCTCAGTCTCCAGAGTGCTGGGATCACAGGCGTGTGCCACCATGTCCCGGTAGTTTCTTAAAAAGTTAAACATATGACCCTGGAGTTCCACTCCTAGGTATCCACCCAATAAAAACACGCCCACCATAGAGTTGCAAGTGAATGTTCACAACAGCATCGCTCGTAACAGTCAAAAAGTAGAAACAATGTGAAAGTCTATCAGTTGGCAGATGGACAGACAATATGTAGTTTATTCAGATGATAGAATACTATTCAGCAATAAAAGGGAATGAAGTATTGGTACATGCTGTAATATGGATGAACTTAAAAAACATGATTGAGGGTTAAGGATGTAGAGCAACAGCGCATTTATCTAGCATGTGCAAAGCCCTGCATTCAATTCTCTGCACTACAAAACTAACAAAAAACATGAGTGAAAGAAGCTGACAAAACATCATAAACTGTATGATTCCATGTATATGAAATGTCTGTAGCAGGTAAATCTATACGGACAGAAAGCAGATTAGTGGCTGATTGGGCAGGTAGTAAACTGGGAGCAACATTAAATGGGCAAAAGCGATCTTCCTGGCTTGACAAATACATTCTAAAATGAGACTGTGGTGATAGTTGTACAACTGTAAATTCACTAAACATCACTTAGTACTGATAAAATAAATACTAGGGAAACCTGGTCTCAAAATAAATAAAAAAGGAAAGGCTGGGGATGTAGCTCAGAGCATAGGTCCTGGTCTCAATTCCAGTACCAATCAATCCATCAAATTTTCACATGAAAAAATATCTGTATTACACACCACAGACGAAGGGCTAGTATCATTAATATTCAAAGAACTGATAAAAAATAAGGGCCAAAAGTAGAGTTCGCTATTATTAAAAAATACCAAAATAAGTACTGGTAAGGATATGAGAAATTGGAACCTTTATACACTGTGGATGGGAATGTTAAACGGTGTAACCACTATGGTGGTGACGGACGCATAACATTGTACTTAATGTCACTTAACTGTACACTTAGGACTAAAATGGTCAATTTTATATTACGTACATTTTACCGCAATTTATTTTCACAAGAAACAAAGGACCAAAACCCTACAGAAAATGTGAAAAGACACAAATAAACATTTTACCACACAAGAGATAAAAGTAGCCCTTGAACATATGAGCGATATCCTCAGTCCTTTTTCATTTTCAGACAGGGTCTCACTAAGTTGCTCAGGCTGGGTGACACTCCTTAGCCTCTTGAGTATGTGGGATTATAGGCATGGGGTATCACCCCAGACCCCAGCTGAAGATAAACGTCTAACAACACAAAAGTGCAGAGTCTGCCCAAAAAATGTATACACACTTCAGGAAAAGAAAAATAGTAGGATGTTTTTTCAACAGATGGTGTTACCCTCATATGGGGGGGACTCTAGAGGATGTTGTGTATCACAGGAAACTCACCACACTGCTGGCCCTTAGAGAAGAAATTGAAAAATGCATGTGCAACAGTCTTAATGACCAAGGATGTCCAAGCAGCAGTTTGCTGTACTAATAAATGTTTGGAAGCTAATCGCCACCACTTTAAGCACTTCTTATAATTGTAGAGGCCAAAGGTAACTTGTATTAATCTCATGATATCTCAATAAATTTACCTATTTATTTTTTATTTTATGGATAAAAGGTAAAACAAAATTTCATAACAAAATAATAGGAGACTAACAATAATTAATACACTGCATGTTGTTATTTTTAAAGTATTTGCTCAGTACACGATATGGGCATAAAAATTTCTCCAATCAATATTAGCACAAATCTTCTTCCTTTTCAATGAACTAAGAGATAATAATACTATAACTGACTTGCATTTTTTCCCTTTTCCCTTCTGTCCTTTCCCCTTTCCATTTTAGTTCCTTTCTTCTCTTTAACAATTTCTTCCCATTTCACAATATCTATTGTACATTTTAGACTTCATTTACCATTTCAGTTTCTCACACCAGGAAGACAACAGTGTTGACACATGTCAGTCTGATTTATTTCACTTATGAGTATGGTTTCAATTGCATCCATTTACCGATAAAAGTCTCAAGTTTATTCTTCTTTATGGCTGAATAGTACTTCACAGTAGCTTTGTCGTATAAAAAGATCATCACTTTTTAATCCATTCTTCAGTTAATGGGCATTTGGGCTGTTTCCAAGATTTAGCTATTACAAATTGTGCTGCTATAAACATGGGTACACATATATCACTGTAGTATGATGCTTTTAATTCTCCTGGGAAGATACCCAGAAGGGAAGTAGCTGGGTCAAATGGAGCTTCCATCCTAGTTTTTTAAGAAATCTCCATACTGATTGCCACAGTGGTTGTATCAGTCTACACTCCCACCAACAGTGAAGATAGGTTCCTTTTTCCCCAGTCCCTTCAGCATTTATTATTGGTTGATTTCTTGGGGACAGCCCTTCTTTCTGGAGTGAGATGGAATCTCAGCGCTGTTTTAATTTGCATCTCTCAAATGGTCAGTGACGTTGAATATTTTTTCATATATT